GAAAAAGTATAATAACATTAGTTTAGGTGGGTTTTGCAAATGATAATATAAATTGACATAACAGAACTTTATAGAATTCACTAAAGAATATGATCAGGAATTACCTTTACGTAAAACCTCTATATCTCAAGTAAAGCCATTATTCACCAATGTTTATGAATTGGAATCGATTGATAACACCAATAATATTACAACACGATCAGTCTCTTCTACGAATGAACAAAATACGGCATCTATGGCACACACTGCACCACGATCAGTCTCTTCTATGAATGAACAAAACATGGCATCTATGGCACACACTGTCCCACGATTGGTCTCTTTTACAGATAAACAAAATATGGCATCTACAACATCTATCGATTGCATCGATTTTAATAATTTAGCACTAATATTTACTGCATTTGTTCAAGTGATAAAATCAGGCACACTTTTACCAAATATGGGATATACATCATATATGCATCCGCAATCTATTATGACTTCTGACAATATGACTACTTTAGCTATAATAAATAATAATGCATCCACTAATCAAATCTATAATAACACATCTCTGAATAATGTGAGTGTTTCAAATATTAAGGTATTTTACTTGCTGAATATGAAAATAACATTACAATTAATAAAATATTTCTCTAATTATATATTCTTTAAGACTCGACTTGCATCCTTATTCATTAATGAATCAAAAGTTCTTTTTCTTCATATTCGTAAGCCAACACTGGAACTGATCTTAGTACTAGCTAGAGAATGTGCAAGACATCTCAGAATTGCTGATATTAACACTAGTGATGCGAAGAAGAAAGGTTGCGGATAGTTCTCAACATGGAGGGTATGATTGTATGATAGATGTACCCAAATTGCACTTGATTTCTTAGATGGTTATAGGTAAATATTACTTTATTATATTCTTTCAATTTTTTTTTTGAATACATATTATTAACCGTGATTATATAATTATACAGTGTATCCTTGAACAATCTTCTAAATTCATCTTACCTTCGAAATTTTGTGAGTACAGATGATATCACCAATATTTTTGAGCCACAATTAAAGTAAGTTAAAAGGGATCATTTGCTCAAAAACAAATCGTCTTGGAATTCTCTAAAAGAATATATTGTTGAAGTCACATTAAACATGATCTGTTTCTTTGTACGTAAAAATGTTGACCATGTGATTTATAATAATGTTACAAAGATCCAACGAGTAGGATGGCGAAATGCAATGCTAGTTGATTTGCATGCTCTTGATCGTATTACAGTTGATATACATATTGTTTCTGAGAGTGGAATGATATTAGCACAAGATATAGATATTCGTAGTTATGTAACCTTATAAATTCAATTTCACAGTATAATTAGTTTTGCTGTGATATGCTTCAGTAATCATGTAAAATGTAACAATTCAAAAATGTAACCATTGCAAATATTGTTTCAATTTATTATCTTAATTCGATTTTATTATTAATAATGTAACTATTGCAAAATTATTACGATTTATTATTTAAATTATTTTAAATATATAATTTGCAATATTCTTAATATTCATTGTGTCATAGTACTCATAAATGATTACAATATATATAAAAACAATTTCAAGCTTTACAAAACAATGTTAATATTACAAAAATATTACAAAGGTATTATAAAAGCATATCAAAAAAAATGGGATTTTTAGCTAAGTATGCTTAAATTTGAAACAAAAATTCTTTTATATGATGGTTAATCTTGTTACAAAACCTTATCTTTAAAATTTACAAAGATTTCAACATAAAATTTCTTAAGAAATTCTATTAGCTTATGATAAAGAAATGAAAAATTACTAGGATCATAATTTATTTAAGCATCCTGATATTATAAAATAACACAATTTCTCAATGATAGAGACAAAATCCTTAGAATTTTAATTTGATCAATTTGAAAAGTTAAAACATAATATTAATAATATAAAATAATATAAATATTAAAAATATATTAATCCACTATCTTATATTAATAAAAGATTTCTTCTATTTTAATAAATATTGACAAATAACTTCATATGTTTATTGAATTTTAGAAACATTAAAAATAATAGTGTTAGTATTGATAATGGTGTTATTGTTATTGTTATTGTTGTTGATGATAATGATAGATTGTTTTATAAATAAAAAAATTTTAATTATCTTACTAGAAAATAAAAACCATTTAAGTCCAGAGCAAAATTTTTTATTTAAATCAATAAATATAAATAAATTTTTTATTTACTGATCTTATCATACATGTAGCATAACAAATAGAAATACTCATGTGATTAAATTTTTACATTTCCTAAAAGTATAATGTCTTACGCTTCATTCTGAATAATTATAATCTATTTTTATATTAATTAATAATTTTATGAATTTTAGATACATTAAGAAATAGGTAATTGTTAGTATAGTTTATAATGATGGTTGATAAATAGCATTTTAATTGTCTTATTATAATATACTTTTTTTTATTAATTAATATTCTTATGAATTCTAGAAGTTATAATGTATCATTTTTATAAGATATTCTAATCTAGTAAATCGTTCTTGAAATAATTCTAGTTTATTATAAAAAATCGGATTAGTACTTTAAACCCAGCCTGAGTCACCTTTTAAATTTTAACCAAAATAAGTTTTATATGTAAATATTTTTATTACGTGACTCAAAATATAGTATTAATTAACCTTAAAATCAAATTAGTATCTAGGATTTTATATTTCTTTAAAGTACCCAAATTTGATTTAGTATTCTTAAGCTCTTATGTTTAAAAGATGCAATCATTATGATTGATCAGTATAATTAATTATACTTATTTATTACATATATTTGTATGGCAAATATTCTAACTTACTGAAAAATTCTTTATATTTAATAAAATTTGAAATAACACTAAAGAATTATACCAGCCAATCAAAGTGTAAAGTTAATTAGTAATCTTAGTAATTAATGATTGGTAAACATGAAATATAATTAATTATTATATATAAATTTATTTTACATACCATATTCCTCTGAAAATAGACACTCCCTGAAAATAAGCATTTATCTTATTTTTTTATATCCAAAAATAACGATAAGCACTATCACATTTATTAGTATCTGAAAATAAAATAAATGCTAAAACAAACTCAATTTATTAAATATATATAAAATTCAATGTTTTTTTTATTTTATTTAAAAGAATTTATCGTCATCAATATTTCTTTCATTATTATTGATGATCGCTATCACCATTACTGCTACTATTATTATTGCCTACTACTATTATCATTCACCTCTGAAATTGAAAATTTAGCAATTTTGTTAGCATCTGAAGTTAACGTTAAGCATCTTTATCCCTTAAAGCATAGGTATAAATTGGCTATAAAACATTATAGAAAAATTATAATATTTTAATATCTAATGATTATAAAAAGATTAAATAAACTTTATTAGATTTGTTATATTAAAATCTATCTAATGATAGTATTTTTAAATTTTTAAATTAATAATTATTAATATAAATTAATTTTTCAATTTTTCAATTTTTTAAAATAACTTATTATTAAATAAA